TTCCGACAGACCTGTTCTTCACCTGAGGACGGCTGCTTGCGTTGTGGCCGAAACGTGAGAATTCCCTTCTACGTGACTTTACCGAAAGAACCAAGAAGATGAATCCCTGCAGTCATGAAAGCTTTAAATCGAAAATTTTAAGAGAAGTTTTTAAAGATATTTTTCACCCGGGCAACGCCGGGTACTTACCGCTAGTAACTAATAAATGAAACTGAAAACATAGTCTGGAACAAGCGTCGTGGTGACGTCACCGCCACTTCATGGCAAATGACAGTTGTCTTCTTTTGGCTTCTGAGGTGCTGCGTTCCTTGGAACGAAAATACCTCAGGTCCCCAGCAGGGGCGCTGGGTCAGCGTGTGTTGAGCACACGGCGCTCTCGGCTGCTTCGTCAGTCTCCACCGCTGAGGTGATTGCCAAGTCGGCACACTGGTCACTCTGTCGGCAGTGCCCGTGCTGGCAGGGATGATGGGTCCGGCTCCGTCTGCGTCGATGTGCGCGATCATCCCGTCACCAGAAACCACTCGCACCAGACACTGTTGATCCTTGTAGACTGTGGAGCAACTTGGAGAGACAGTGCCTGTCGTCTCCCCCCCCCCCCGCCTCTTCAAGAGAGTCCTCTTCCAGTTGTTTGTACGACTCGTGCTGCAGAGAGGACACGCTACAGATCAAGTTATATCGTTCCGTGTCAGTCTCTGATCCGACCCTCAACTAAACTTCGCCTGTGGGTTGCGATTTCAAGGGGCACTCTCACGAATAGTGGTTGCACCAGTTTTCCCTCAAAGGGTTGACTTTGATCTGAGCACAATCCGAACGATTGTCACTCTATGATCGTGTTTGCTGTACAGAACGATCTCGCCACCGGGAATAGTAATGCTTGGCACTCTTCCCCACGTCTGTATTGCAATACTGCGAGCACCAGCCATGGCTGGCAGCCTCAATGACGCAACAACAAAAAACTCTCCGTGATGCGTGGCTTCTGACGATGCAGAGCTCCCTATCAATTTGCCAGTCACGAGGGCCATCCCCGGAGCCGACCACTCGCAGTACTTCTTCTTTCATATGGCATTGTGAAAAGCAACAGTTTTTATTTTAAATGATCGTCATGAATGAATGCAAAGGTTTCTTATCCAGTCCAATGATGTGGTTGATGCAGTGTGAATTTTAGCGATACCGCCAGGATGTGCATGGATGGAGCATTCATCGGTGATGTGCTTGATGGTTTGGACTTCTCCAGTCGTAGTTGGGTGTTTCGTTGAGCAGTGCTGTTTTCGATTTAAAGCTTTCGTGACTGCAGGGATTCATCTTCTTGGTTCTTTCGGTAAAGTCACGTAGAAGGGAAGTAATAAAATAATAAAAATAAAACATAATAAAATTATTCTCACGACGTTTCGGCCACAACGCAAGCAGCCGTCCTCAGGTGAAAACCAGGTCCGTCGAGGCGACAGAGTCTGAATGAAACAGCACATATATAAGCTGGGCGCCTAGACAAAGGAATTTGCATATCAAGAGGAATTTAACATATTTATGGGAAATGCAGGAATGTGATTAGTACTACATATGCATGTGCATTATGCAGGATTAACAGCATCAAAGGGAGCTGCAGTTGCTGCTGCTGCTGCAGTTGCTGCTGCTGCAGTTGCTGCTGCTGCAGTTTCTGCTGCTGCTGCAGTTGCTGCTGCTGCTGCAGTTGCTGCTGCTGCTGCAGTTGCTGCTGCTGCTGCAGTTGCTGCTGCTGCTGCAGTTGCTGCTGCTGCTGCAGTTGCTGCTGCTGCTGCAGTTGCTGCTGCTGCTGCAGTTGCTGCTGCTGCTGCAGTTGCTGCTGCTGCTGCAGTTGCTGCTGCTGCTGCAGTTGCTGCTGCTGCTGCAGTTGCTGCTGCTGCAGTTTCTGCTGCTGCTGCAGTTTCTGCTGCTGCTGCTGCAGTTTCTGCCTTATCCATTTTAATATAACACTATGTATTATTCTACCCACCCTAATGTGTATCACACTGCTATATATTTACTATACAATTACGACACCATACATTACTCTGCACACTGCACCATGCCAGTGAGTGGAACGCGGTCTGAAAGTCACCGTAAACGTGAACACAATCAGTTAAGATCCGAAATGGTTTATTACGTCCTTCCAATGATTGCTAAGCCAGAATCCATCTTCTCGGTTGAAATTGTCTCTGTGTTTGTATATGTGGATCGCCTCATGAACGAATCTCTCATGATAGCCAGATGGCTTGCAGAGAACCTGTCTTGGAGAAGTCAATGTCATGTGAGCCCACTGAATTGTAACAGTGATCTGCCACGGCTGAGGTGTTTGTCCTACCGTGTTTCAGGTCTGCTTTATGTTCACGGATGCGGTCCGAGACATGTCGTTTGGTTTCTCCAATGTAACTGCTACCACAGAGGCAACTTAGTTTGTAGACGCCAGGGTACTGTATGTCTGGAACCACATCTTTTACAGATGGGACCAGATCACGGATTTTATGTACTGTGTTGAATCGGACCTGGATCTTGTGTTTAATCAGGATTTTGGAGATCTTTATTGTGACCCCAGCAATGTAGGGTAAGGTGATGGTCTTGAAAGGCTCCTCAACAGGATCCTTCCTGATGGTTGGAGTGATGGCCTTGCGGATTGTGTAGTCGGAGTAACCATTAGCCTTAAGAGCTTGGCGTACGTGTTTGAGTTCACTGCCAATGTGTTCCTGGTCGGAAATGCATTGGGCTCTATGGTATAGAGTCTTGATGAGGGAATTCTTCTGGGATGGATGGTGGTGGGAATCCGGTTTTAGGTAAGCATCCGTATGGGTGGCTTTCATGTAGACAGAGTGGCTCATTGAACCATCAGGTCTCCTTTTAATAAGGACATCCAAAAAGGGTAGCTTGCCATCTTTTTCGACTTCCATGGTGAATCTGATGGCTGGATGTATGGAATTGATGTGGTCGAGAAATTGGTCTAGAGCAGGCCGGCCATGTGGCCAGATGACAAAAGTGTCATCTACGTACTTCTTCCATAAGGTCGGGCGTAGAGTGGCAGTCTTTATGGCGTCAGTCTCAAATTTCGCCATGAAGATGTTGGCTACAACCGGAGATAGGGGGGAGCCCATTGGGGTGCCCTCAGTTTGCTTGTAGAAAGTTCCATTCCAGGTGAAGTATGTATTGGTTAAGCAGTGTCTCACCAGGGCGGGTACCCCAGCATTCAGTCCTTGATTGCGATGGTGTCAGGTACAGGAACTTTGGTGAATAAGGAAACCACATCAAAACTGACAAGCAGGTCGTCTGGGGACAGGGCAATCCCCTTGATTGTCGATACCAGGTCAGTAGAGTTTAGTACCGCAGAGGCGGTTTTTCCAGTGAAAGGCTGTAGGATTTCAGACAAAAAACGAGCCAGTTTATAGGTGGGGGAGTTGATAGTAGAGACAATGGGACGGAGAGGTGTATCTTCTTTATGTATCTTTGGCAAGCCGTATAATCTTGGTGGCCTGGCTGCAGAAGGTTTCAACGAGAACTGTTTGGTCTGATCAATTAATGCGGTTGAATCAGAAATGATTTGCTTGGTTTTAGAGACGAGGCTGTTGGTGGGATCTCTTTTTATTTTTGTATAGCTGCCATCGTTGAGTAGTTCTTGGATTTTGTTGTTGTATTCTGTTTTGTCCATGATGACAGTGGCATTGCCTTTGTCGGCTGAGAGGATGACAATGTCATCCCTAATTTTTAATTGAGCTAATTCAAAACGCTCATCTTTGCTGATGTTGCAAGCAGAAATAGAACTGTTACTGCGATTAATTACTTTGTTAACATCTAGCTTTTCAATGTGTGGGTCCGGTTTCTTATTTGAGAGGCGATCGAATTTGGAAATCAAGTTGTCCTTACATTTGGTCGACATAGCAGCAGCTGAAGAGGCAGTCATTTTATCTACGTGTTCCCAATCCGATGTGGACATTGTTGCACTCAAAGATAAGTGTGATTTGTAGAGTGACTTGTCTAACTGATCTAGATCGGTGCGCGTAAGTCTGATTTTCTCTGAGATAAGAGCTAAGCTAGTTCTAGACAGAATTCGTTAAGCATTAGAAGAAGTTACAGCAGCAGATGTTAGTGTAAATGCTAATTTATTTAATCATGAAAATGTTGCGTGTATGCTAATTAGGTAGGTGTAATTGTATTCAGTTATGCAAGTGTATGTAATTATGCTAATGCATTCAATTATGATCATTAGCTTCTGCTTCGTTGTCTAGGGTTGTATTATCACTGATCAACAACAAAAACGTTTTTTTCTGGCCTGGACTTTTGCAGCTGTTCTAGACTAATTTCAGGGTGCGGATTCCAAATCTGATCTCAGATTTGCTCTATCACATCTCATTTTATGCTATCGGTATACCCCATTTTCATTGATTTTACCCGAAATTAACTCTGTCACTTATGATTGCAAGTTGTTGCGAGTCAGTGACTGCTTTAGTGTTAAAATATGGTGCTGTATTTTTAGGATAGTGTGTTTATAATAAATTTATGTAGATATCCACATTTATTTAATATTTTTCTTCTGCAGTTTTTATTGAAAATGCTATATTTGATATGCCAGATTTGGAATCAGCACCCCAAAATTACCTTAAGACCGTTGGAATACCTTATGCCAGAAAAAGTGTTGACCAGTGAATTATCATTCAGGATAATACAATGATTCTCACTTTAACTTTTACTGATTATGTCTTAGTGTGTTATATCAGGTCTCAAAATTCAGATCTCTCCGCAAGATACAGTTCTTATAATTAATATTATTATGCATGGACTTAGGAAGGCACCACTCAGACTCTTCTGTGTTAAGCAACTTTAATCTCTAAAAAACACGTAACATTCCAATATGCGAACTCTTATGCAAGGAATGCCAACAGTACTCCTGGAGATGTCCTCATTGAACCGTACATTTAACCCTCAATAATTATGTTTGTCAAACTGGGTAACAGAACAATTGGCTCATTCTTCAGAGTAAGGTAATCATACACAGCGACATGAAATTAATGTGACAATATTCAGATCTCTCCGCAAGATACAGTTCTTATAATTAATATTATTATGCATGGACTTAGGAAGGCACCACTCAGACTCTTCTGTGTTAAGCAACTTTAATCTCTAAAAAACACGTAACATTCCAATATGCGAACTCTTATGCAAGGAATGCCAACAGTACTCCTGGAGATGTCCTCATTGAACCGTACATTTAACCCTCAATAATTATGTTTGTCAAACTGGGTAACAGAACAATTGGCTCATTCTTCAGAGTAAGGTAATCATACACAGCGACATGAAATTAATGTGACAATATTCATACGAACAGTAATAAAGAAACATGTGCCTAAGCAAAGGTAGACCTCAATGAATTAATTTTTTAGATTATGCAATTAACGTAATGCCTTGGAACAATGGTGTGCGGTAGTGTGCTTGCTTGTCTAACAAATGTGCATCAATTGGCTAAGGGCTTTAATACATTCGCCGGCAAGATTATGTGATGAAAAGAAAGCTTTTAACACAATTGTATCCCTGTTTGTGTGTATTCGTTTTGGGCAGCGTTCCCCACAATTCCATCACGGGTTGGAAGTGTTTAACATTTTTTGCATCAGACTTGCAGTCTGTCAAAAAGGGGCGCTGTGGCCTTTGAAGTCGTGAAGTCGTGATCTATTGTGCAAGGGTGTGCTTGCTGTCACCATGTATTCCGTCCTCTCATCACGGGTTGGAAGTAAAAAAAAAAATATTATTTACAGTGAGGGAAAAAAGTATTTGATCCCCTGCTGATTTTGTACGTTTGCCCACTGACAAAAAAATTATCAGTCTATAATTTTAATGGTAGGTTTATTTGAAGTGAGAGAGAATAACAAAATCCAGAAAAACGCATGTCAAAAATGTTATAAATTGATATAGATACAGTAATCCCTCGCCACTTCGCGGTTCAAGTTTCGCGGCCTCAGTGCATCGCGGATTTTTCTAAAATATTCATTGAAAAATAAAAATTCAAAAATACCGCCATATCGGCAGCCGTATTGCGGAAAGCAGCGTTGTTTCATCGTGATGCGCGAGAAAAACGGTTTCCCAGGATGCCAGACAAAGAGAGAAACTCTCTCAGAAGCTTTGCACATACCCATGGGCACTCAGACAAGGCACGTGATTGGTTCCCGGCGCGAGATCAACGAATGAGAGCATGAGTGGATGTATCACGTGAGCTGATTGGCTGCGCATCATCGTTGTCATCGTCGTCATTACTGGAGTCAAGTCTCAAGATACTACTGTCATTGGTGAGTGTAGAACACCATAATACGTATTGTATGAGAGAGAGTGAATGTATAATATTAAGGTTTTATAATTAAATAGATTTAAGTAAAATATATATATAAAGTATAAATATACATATTTTAAACATTCTGGTACCCACACACACATATACGGAAATTCCTAGGGGGCCAATCCTACTTCGCGGATTTTCACCTATCGCGAGGGGTTCCGGTCCCCATTAACCGCGATAAACGAGGGATCACTGTATACCCAACCCACAGGTCTGCAAATACTGCCCCCTCTTACTCTGCAGGTTGAACCTAAGAATTGAGTGTTCAACTTCACATTCTTTCATTAAAGGCCTGTGACAAAGGTGAATCTACTGGGGCATCATTGTCTCAAGCTTACACATCTACCGGGTCTCCATTTGACTTTGATTTGTCTAAGAAGTCCACCCACACCTCCACTTCCACAAATTCCTGGGAGGTTCCTCGCTCTGCCTCAGTCAGAATTCTCCTCCTGCTTCACGTTGCCTCCATCGATGTGAAGGTCCGATTTTGGAGTTGAATCTTCATCTTCACATTTTACCTTCACATCTTCGCTCTTCACCATCACATCTTCACATTTTACCTTCACTTCTTCGCTCTTCACTATCGCCTCTTCACATTTCACCTTGATACATTTCATAGTGTCCAAGCTGGAATGTACTTCTGGTTCTTTTTTCAGGAGGGATGGGCTCATTGCAGCACTTTGACTTTCACAAGTCGATGTCAGACTACACTCCTTGGGGATCTTCTGATGCCTGTGTGTTCTCTGGTGTCGATGAAGAACTGATGACTGTGCAAATGCCTTCTCACAGACAGTGCACTTGAAGGGTTTCTCTCCTGTGTGTGTTCTCTGGTGGATCTGAAGACGTGATGACCATGCAAATGCCTTCTTACAGACAGTGCACTTGAAGGGTTTCTCTCCCGTGTGCGTTCTCTGGTGTTTTTTAAGATGTGATGAATCTGCAAAGGGCTTCCCGCAGAGTGCACTTGAAGGGTTTCTCTCCTGTGTGTGTTCCCTGGTGTATTTTAAGATGTGATTCATCTAAATATGCCTTTCCGCACACAGTGCACTTGTAGGGTTTCTCTCCTGTGTGTGTTCTCTGGTGCCGTTTAAGATGAGATGAACCTGAAAATACCTTCCCACACAAACTGGACTTAAAACGTTTTTCTCCCGTGTGTGTTCTCTGGTGGATCTGAAAACCTGATGACCATGCAAATGCTTTTTCACAGACCATGCAAATGCTTTTTCACTTAAAAGGGTTCTCTCCTGTGTGTGTTCTCTGGTGTTGTTTAAGAGTAGATGAATCAAAAAATGCCTTCCCACACACACTGCACTTGAAGGGCTTATCTCCTGTGTGTGTTCTCTGGTGGGTTTGAAGATTTGATGACTTTGCAAACGCCTTCCCACACAGAGTGCACTTAAAAAGTTTCTATCCTGTGTGTGTTCTCTGGTGTGATTTAAGAATGGATGACCGTGCAAATGCCTTCTCACACACAGTGCACTTGAAGGGTTTATCTCCTGTGTGTGTTCTCTGGTGAATCTGAAGACATGATGACCATGCAAATGCCTTCTCACAGACAGTGCACTTGAAGGGTTTCTCTCCTGTGTGCGTTCTCTGGTGTTTTTTAAGATGTGATGAATCTGCAAAGAGCTTCCCGCACAGAGTGCACCTGAAGGGTTTCTCTCCTGTGTGTGTTCTCTGGTGTTTTTTAAAACAAAATGAACTTGAAAATGTCTTCTCACACAAACTGCACTTGAAATGTTTCTCTCCCGTGTGTGTTCTCTGGTGGATCTTAAGATCAGATGAACTTGAAAATTCCTTCCCACACACACTGCTCTTGAAAGGTGTCTCTCCTGTGTGTATTTTCTGATGTCTTTTAAGAGCAGATGAATCTGAAAATGCCTTCTCACACAAACTGCACTTGAAATGTTTATCTCCCGTGTGTGTTCTCTGGTGGATCTTAAGATCAGATGAACTTGAAAATTCCTTCCCACACACACTGCTCTTGAAAGGTGTCTCTCCTGTGTGTATTTTCTGATGTCTTTTAAGAGCAGATGAATCTGAAAATGCCTTCTCACACACAGTGCACTTGAAATGTTTCTCTCCTGTGTGTGTTCTATGGTGTTTTCTAAGATTTGATGACTGTGCAAATGCCTTCTCACACACACTGCACTTGAAGGGTTTCTCTCCTGTGTGTGTTCTCTGGTGGATCTGAAGAACTGATGACTGCAAATGCCTTCTCACAGACAGTGCACTTGAAAGGTTTCTCTCCCGTGTGTGTTCTCTGGTGTGTGTTAAGGGCGAATGAATGTGAAAAGTCCTTCCCACACACATTACACCTGAAGGGTTTCTCTCCCGTGTGTGTTCTCTGGTGTTTTTTAGGAACAGATGAATCTGAAAATGCCTTCCCACACACACTACAACTGAAGGGTTTCTCTCCAGTGTGTGTTCTCCGGTGTTTTTCAAGAACTGATGACCATGCAAATGCCTTCTCACACACAGTGCACTTGAAGAGTCCATCTCCTGTATGTTTTCTCTGGTGCTTGTGCAGAATTGATGACCGCGAAAACGCCTTCCCACACACAGTGCACCTGAAGGGTTTCTCTCCTGTGTGTGTTCTTTGGTGGGTCTGAAGATATGACGACCATGAAAATGCCTTCTCACACACAGTGCACTTGAAGGGTTTCTCTCCTGTGTGTGTTCTCTGGTGTATTATAAGATATGATGACTCTGTAAATGCTTTCTCACACAAAGTGCACTTGAAGAGTTTCTCTGCTGTATGCGTTCTCTGGTGTTTTTTAAGATATGATGACACTGTAAATGCCTTCTCGCACACAGTGCACTTGAAGGGTTTCTCTCCTGTTTGAGTTCTCTGGTGCCGTGTCACACTTCCAGTACAATCCATGCTGTTTGCATCCTGGTCCCATTGTCTTTTTGTACCAGGCTGCGCCGAGTGCCTTTGCTCCATCACACCAAATCTGATGAAGCGTCAGAAGCGTCAGCTGCAGAGAGAAAAAATAATCCACACAATCTACGTCAGTATCGAGGCACAGAGGAATAAATATATATACATAGTCACACATGACTTACACGTCTATATTTATTCATATATTCAAGATATTCCCCAATCCATCACACGGGCTGTTAAGGCACACAATGAGAGGGCAAATTGTTATAAATATGCCTGGAGGCCCTAGTATCTTCAAAATAAATATTAACCCAAAACACCATACACACAATTTCGGCTGCCTGGCTACAAAAGCAAAATTTATTAAAGTAAAATTCAGCTAACATAGCAAAGGCTGTTGAAAATAATACTATTTGTATTACGCAGGAATGCATAAATTAATGTTCAATCACAACTTGGGGTGTGAAGCCAGGCTCAGATTTGCTTGAATGCTTGGATGAACAGATCTAACTTCAGCAGCATATATGCTGTGTTGATTTCCTGACTGTTTCCATTCTTACAAAAAGTTCCAGAGGAAAACTAAAATAAGCTATTGTTTAGATTTAACCTACATGTGCAATAGTTAATATACTTTACTGCAAATACAAACTTGACACTGTCACACACTGGCATTGTAAAAAGGTGGTGGTGTCCAGAACCATGCCTGGCCACCTTGATCTGCTCAGTATTAATGCTTTCTCACTTCACCATGCAATTAATTTAAGATCAATCAACATAGCAGAGGACCACAATAAGTTCAGCTTTCACTTATCAATCGTGTTTGCTGTCGGCGATAGTCAAACTAATTGTTGAATTCATAATGCAGTGAAATAACTGCGCCACAGCTCCCCACGAAGATAAACTTTTAAATACACATACATTTCACATGGATCATTACATCTTACCTATACAAGTCAGTTTTTGTTTGTTTTTCTGTCCGTCTGTCTGTATACGAAACTTGTGACGGATTTGACTCACGAACCGTGGAGTTTTGTTTAAAAAAAGTACCCGGGTACCATGCGATAAGCCCCATGGGGAGCCAGCGCTAATCGTATTTTGCGTCCGTCAACTTTAAAGTAGTTAAATTAACAATTTAGTATAAGAATAGGTTTTCCCATTTTTTTCTGGCAACAAAACGGGTGTTAAGATGTTCAAACACCAAACTTAAACCTTTTTCAAGGAATCATTTCTGGCATAAACACGATATATATTTGTGGTCAAAATGCAAAAAAAACATGCTCTGATAGTATATGCATTGTTACAATAATAGGGTTGTTCCCCTTTTTTCTTGCAACAAAACCGAAACCTTTTTACAAGGAGTCATGTCTGCATTAACCACAATACTTGCAGTCAAAATGCAAACAAAAAAACACTGATAATATATGCATTGTACTTGAAACTGATTGGTCCACACCAGAGACAGCTTTCTTTAGAGCCTCGTCTCAATTGGAAGACCAGATGACGCCAAAAGGCGTACAGCTCAAAGACAATGCACTATCAAAGTAATAAGGGCTCAGGGTAAGCATCTACATCATTAGACCTCCTTTGCCAGTAGCAAAATATAATAATAGGGTTGTTCCCCTTTTTTTCTGGCAACAAAACTGAAACCATTTTACAAGGATTCATGTCTGCAATAACCACAATATTTGCAGTCAAAATTCAAAAACAAAATCACGGATACTATATGCATTGTCCTTGAAACTGATTGGTCTACACCAGAGACAGCTTTCTTTCGAGCCTAGTCTCAAACAGTGTTAGACCAGAGGACGCCAAAAGGCGAAGGAGGTCACATGGTATAACAATTTAGTACTATTAATGATTATATTACTACGCTGAGCGCGCGCCAAAGCACACATTTGCGCATGCGCGAGGCCGGGGCCCCTGCATGGGACTAGGCCTTACCACGGCACTGTTAAATACTATATTCTTGGTTCTTTCGGTACAGTCACGTAGATAGAAAAATCTTTATAAAAAAAGAAGTTAATTAAAATCGAAATAGTAAAAATAAAAAGAAACACTAATGTAGGCCTGGTTCTTAATCGGAGTTAAGTGTACTGGCAGTCTATAATGTAGACTATGTTTAGGGCCAGCCGAGCTCTAATCTCAGAGAGAATAAGATTGCTCCGTTTTAACTTGATAATTTAGACAAGACTCTCTTACAATCACACTTAGCATTAACAGATACAATGTCCACATCTGATTGGGACCATGTAGATAACATGACAGTTTCTTCAGCTACTTAAATGCAAACTAAACGTAAAGTTAACTTGATTGCTAAATTCAATCTCCTGTCAAAATGAAGCCCAAGCCACACATTAAAAAGTCAGATGTTAACAAGATTTTTATCAGAGTAACAGCCCAATTTCCGACAGCCTAAAATCGGTACTAGCTAAAGGGTTGAATTTCACAGTCTCCCCTAAATACATCCCAGTATGATATCATTGCCCAGGTCGACATAGCCCTCAAAGGTTTGGGACACATCCCGGCAGACGTTGCAAGATTTGAAATCGCTGCTATCCTCAAAAACGCTAAGAAACCCATTAGCAACATCAGCAAGGACGAGCGTTTTGAACTCGCTCAATTAAAAAAAGAGGTGACATTGTTATCCTCTCAGCCGACAAAGGCAATGCCACTGTCATCCTGGAAAAAAACACTTACAACAACAAAATTCAGGACCTTCTTAATGATGGCAGCTATACCAAAATCAAGAGATCCCACCAACTTCCGAGCCACGAAAACCAACAATATCATCATTAATCCGACTTCTCTAATCAAACCGACCAAGCAGCTCTCTCTAAAACCTTCGGCTGCTAGACCACCCAGATTTGATGGCCTTACAAAAATCCACAAAGTATCGTCTTCACCATTAACTCACCCACCCACAAACTGGCCCGATGTCTGTCTGAGACCCTGCTTCCTTTCACGGGCACGACCACCTCAGCTGTATGTAACTCAACTCACTTGGTTTCACTAATCAAGAACATCTCACTGTCTCCCGATGATTTGCTTGCCAGTTTCGATGTAGACTCCCTGTTCACCAAGGTACCTGTACCTGACACCATTGCAATCATTGAAGACTTGGTCCAACAGTGA